GAGAGAGAGAGAGAGAGAGAGAGAGAGAGAGAGAGAGAGAGATTGGAATAAGATCTCTTGAGGTAGGGGCGCCTGGGTGGCTCAGTGGGTTAAAGCCTCTGCCTTCGACTCAGGTCATGATCCCAGGGTCCTGGGATCGAGCCCCACATTGGGCTCTCTGCTCCGCAGGGTGCCTGCTTCCTGCTCTCTCTCTCTGCTTCTCTGCCTACTTGTGATCTCTGTCAAATAAATAAATAAAATCTTTAAAAAAAAAAATCTCTTGAGGTAAAATAGACATTTTGATGGTGGTGCACAGGCTTCTTAGCTTAGGTTTCCTTATTTGACACAAGTGAAATAGACTGTGCTCTTGAATAGAACACAAAGTCAAGTTTGAATCTCACGTCAGTCTAATAGCATGGGCTGCGGTATGGATGTCCTCTCATCTAGGGATGTACACAGTGGCAGAATGAATGAAAACCCAAGACCCACGAACTGCAGTGTGTCATTTTTGGCCCTGGGAATTGTTCATGTTTCTCTATGGTGTTCTGTGGTTGCTATTGTTCTTCTTATGTAAAGGGTTCTTGGTTCATTATCACGTAAGTGGACTTGTAAATCCCAACTGTTGGTCTTCAAACTAACCAATTTTGGTGATTTTCTTTTCTTAGCTGTGGAAAATTAAGTCATAAGCTGAGCCATGTGCCTGGACTCTCCCCTTGCTGGCATCAGTACTGGCCCATTAAGGAAGGAGAGGACTTGCAGAAACCATGAGACACCTACCTGCTTGTTCACACACAGAGGTGCCCTCTGCTCTGCCTAATCTTACAAATAGTGTTTTCAGAGGAACAAATCCTTTTCCAGCGTGGTGCGCATGCCAAAAATTGTATTTTCATGGTTTTCAAACATTATGAATAGTCAGATCATGCGTTATGGTAAGAAGGACAACTTTCTAAGTTAGGAAATTGATTTTGGGCATTTCAGAGCTGTGACACTTATATTTACTGCAAGTAGTCTTTTGGGTTACTATGGTAGATGCCCGATGCATGCAAAAAATATCTTCTCTTGGAAATGGCAAATTCAGTACTTTTCTATTAAGTCTATACAATTGGAGATTTCTTTTCTCTAACAAAGAGATATCAAATTTAAACTATTTTAGGTTGAACCCAAATAAAGAATTTTCTTGGAGAATTTCAGTTTCTAGGCTTTTTTTTGTTGCTGTTGCAGAAAAAAAAATAACCTTTTAACCTGTGAGTTTCTCTTAACTGTGGAGAAAATTTTAACTCACTTACAGTTTTGAAGTTAATCCCAGTAACTGCATAGTTTTTGGGGAAAGAGACATGAATATAATGTGCCATGTAATTCAGCCAGAGATGTGTTAAGTGTATGTGTACTCATTCATGTCCGTCATACAACATGGTTTCCACATAAATCCTCTGAGCTGTTGCCTATCACAGTGCTAAGTAAGGCATGGATAGTTCATTGTACGACTCAAGATACCCAACCCTTGGTTTAGTTTCAGGTCCTTAGTGTCTATACTCAGCCAAGTTATGCTTTTGATGATTTGGGTTCTCTCATCATCATTCCCTGTTACACACACATGCATATACATATGTTAACGAAAACTCTTGTAGCCTACATATAATTCTTGCTCTTTAAGCTCTCTGCTTCGAAGAATCTCTTGAAGCAAATTGAAAGTCTGAACATTTTAATGATAAGATTGTATGAATTTTTATTTTATCTTATTTTATTGAAATAGAATTAACCTACAGTGTTATATTATTTTTAGGCATACCATATGATGTTTCAACAATTCTATACTCTAGTCAGTGCTCATTATATGATAAGTGTACTTTTATTCCCCTTCATTTTGTGAATTTTTAGAAGGAAATAATTTAGAAACTTAGGTATTACCCATAAAGTATGTACCTACACAAAATCAGTGTATCAATTATATTTATCCTAATGTGCAGGAAGATTTCTGAAGTTTAAAGATGAATTTTCCAAGAGTCCAGGGATTGAGGTCAGACCTATCTGGGTTCATGCCCTTGGCTCTGCAATTCACTAGCTTCATAATCTAAGGCAAATTACTTAACCTCTGTCCATCTGTTAAATGGGAATAACTACTACCTAATAGAGTTTTTAAGGTTGAATGCAATTATCATGGAAGGTACTTAACATATAGTGCGTAGTCCTTTGTAAATCCACAACAAACATTTGTTGTTACTATTTAAGACCTTTAAAAAAATCTTTCACCAGTAGATTCCTAACTGTGAACATAGAAACATAGGAAGCAAGGTTGCTGAACTAGGAGGGATTACTAAAAATTTGCAGCCATTTTTAAATGCTGCATGAGAGTTATAATTTCTTTAAATGTATAGCCCTTATATAGTGATTTGCCTGTAGAAGCAACTCTTCTGTAAAGGCACTTCAGGATCTCATCAGATGACTCCAAGAAATCATGCTTTTACTATTTTCCATAAGCAACAATAGCAACTGTGTCCATGCAAGACTGAGCTCAGTGCAAATTTCAGATGAACAAAGCTCATGCCTGTAGCTTTTTCTGCTACAAAAAATGCTGTTTGGTTTTTATTTGCAATTTTTACCCAGTGAATTGTTTAGTTTAAATGCAGCATTTAGAATAGTTTACTCTTACAATTGTTTCAGTTACAGGTTTGATAGTGTGTAAATGGTTTACATTATTTTTTCAGGTGGATAAAATCATATAGAAGTACAGTTGCTCATCTTGGAAACAGGAATCATTCTTGATTCCTTCCTCTTCCTTCAGCCTCACATCCAGGCACCAAGTCTTTGAATAACTACCTTCTAGATATTTTTCTAATCAGCCCACTGTTCTCCATACCCACTTCTACGACCCCGGTCAATGTCAACATTCATTGTTTTGGTGAACAAGTTTATGCTGCCTTTGCTCTTACGTATGTATTACCCCTTGTCCCCCCAGCCCAGTCTGTTCTTCGCAGAAAGCTAATGTGTCTTTCTGAAAATGTAGGTCTCATCATTTAGAATCTATTAGTTGCTTACAATTACTTTGAAGATAAAAATCCAAAATCCTTTTAGCAAGGTGTACAGGCCCACCTTGTTGAGGAAGATTTTTTTGAATCTGTACTTGAAAGATCTTTTTGCTGGGTCTAAAACTCTACTTTTAAAGGTGTTGCTCCACTGCCTTCTGAATTGTGTTGCTTCTGATGAGAAGTCTGCTGTCGTTCTTATCTTTTTAAATCTCTGCTGCTTTTAAGATTTTTAATCATCAAATTTGTACAGTTTAATTATGTGCATTGGTGTAGTGTTCTTCATGATTTTTGTGCTTGGGGTTAGTTGCACTTATTGGACTTGTGGATTTATATAGTTTAATTTTGGCTGTTAGCATTTTTTAGGAAAATTTCCTAAAATAAGTTTTCTTTACCACACTCTCTCCTACCTCCTTCTGGGACTCCAATTTACATGTACGTTGGTCTGCTCGAAGTTGTCCCACAGCATACTGATGTTTTTGTACATTTCCCGTCTTCTTTCTCTGTGTTGAATTTTGGATAATTTCTGTTGCCATGCCTTCAAGTTCACCAACTTATTCTTCTGCACTGATTTGCTGTTAACCTTAAATAATGTATTTTTGTCTGTGGAAATTTGATTTTAAAAAATCTTTCATGTCTCTCCCTAATATACTATTTCTTTTCTCTACCTTGTTTAACATAATAAATGTATTTACAATAGGAATAGTAAATAAGGACATTAAAAGAGTTAACATCTGTGTTATTTTGGCGTTTGTTTTTAATGCTTGATTTTTCTTGTTTTGGATAATATTTTCCTGCTACTTTGCATGCCTGGTAATTTTTAAATTGAATGTGAGTTTTATACTGTTGGATGTTGGGTTTTTGTGTACATATGTGTATTCTTTTAAATCTTCTTGAGCTTTGTTTTGGAGTACCGTCAAGTTACTCGGAAACTGATCATTTCAAGGCTTGCTTAGAAGCTTTGTTAGGTGGACCAGAGCAGCCTGTAGTCAGGGCTCCTTTTCTCCCCTACTGAAGCAATAGCCTCCCGAGTATTCAACCCAATGTCCTGTTTATTATATGAGGTTTCTCCAGTTGGACCTTGGGAACACAGACTATTCCCAGCTCAGAATTTCTCTGCCACGTCTTTTTGGTAGTCCTTTCCCTGTTGTTTGATATTTCCCAACAACAAGTATTGTGCTGATCAGTACTTACCTAAGGACTTGAAAGGAATCTTCTACATGTTTTTTTGGAACTGTCCTCTCTATGCAGCTGTCTTCTTTCCGGTACTCTGTTTTGTAAATTCCAGCTGTGTTGATCTTTCCAAATTCTTAACTTTGTCTCCTCGACACAGCAAGACTGCTTGGTTCAGTTTCGTTTCCCCCTTCCTGAACTGCAGCCTAGAAATGGCATCTAAGCAGTAATCTGGGGTAGTCATGGGGCACAATTCATTTAATTCCTTTATCCTATACTTTCTATTGTCCAAGATTTAAAACCTGTTTTTTATATATGTTTTTCTTTTTGTTGTTGTTTAAGGTGGGAGAATAAGTGTCTTACCCACCTTGGTAAATTGAACAAAGTTTACTCAGTTGCTTAGGGTTTCTTCTTGGGGCTTCTCTCTTTTGTGTCAGTGCTACATTTCCTCTGCTACTAGGTTAAGCCTCCTTCACTTTCAATTGAATTAACATGCTGAGCCTTTCCATTCTTTCCTCCTACAGTTGGTTCTCCACAGCCACATGAGTGAGCTTAAAAATATGGAAACTGTATACCTAGATCATTCCTACTAAAGCCCTTCCTGGCTTTCCCTGTGGTGGTCTCCAAGGTCCTTCATTACTAGGCTTGCCTCCATTTCTAGCTTCACTCCTCAATACTGTATAATCACACTGGCTTCCCTCTGTTCCTCCATTACACCAAGTTCTTTCTCATATCAGATTTGTGTCCACCATACATTTTCTTCTGTTCTCCCCTGAATGGCTGCTCAGTTGTTTGTTCCTCTGATGACCTGAAAGTCGTTCCATGTCTCCCCTTGTTGTCAGTTATATGGCCCTATTCATTTCCTTCAGGCCACTTAACACAATCTGATCATCCTGTTTTTTAAAAATTTTTACTGCAGAGAAGTCCTTTATTTCTTTTTAAAAAATTACTTGCTTTTGGGGCGCCTGGGTGGCTCAGTGGGTTAAAGCCTCTGCCTTCAGCTCGGGTCATGGTCCCAGGGTCCTGGGATCGAGCCCCACATCGGGCTCTCTGCTCAGCGGGGAGCCTGCTTCCTCCTCTCTCTTTCTGCCTGCCTCTCTGCCTACCTGTGATCTCTATCTGTCAAAAAAAAAAAAAAATCTAAAAAAAATTACTTGCTTTTAATTGAAGTATAGTTGTTATGCAATATTACACTACTTTCAGGTGTATAATATAGTGACTCGACATTTACATACATTATAAAATGCTCACCATAGTAAGTATAGTTACCGTCTGTCACCATACAAAATTATTACAATATTATTGACTGCGTTCACCATGCTGTACTTACACCCCATTTTATTTACAATAAATTAAAATCTTATTTACTTTATAACTGGAATTTTGTACCTCTTAACCCCCTTTGCCTATTTCACTCCTCTTCTTATTCCCCTCCCTTCTTGCAGCCACCACTTTGTTTTCTGGATTTATGAGCCCGTTTTCTATTTTGTTTGTTTTGTCTTTTAGATTTCACATAGAGGTGAAATCATTTGGTATTTGTGTTTCTCTGTCTTATTTCACCTAGCATAACACCTTTTAGGTCTATCCATGTCACAAATGGCAGGATTTCATTATTTTTTATGGCTAAGTAATATTCTAGAGTATGTCTGTGTGTGTGTGTGTGTGTGTGTGTGTGTGTGTGTGTATACACGTACACAATGTCTTCTTTATTCATTCATCTGTCCATACTTAAGTTCCTTCCACATCTTGGCTATTGTAAATAATGCTGTAAGAAACATAGGGAAGCATATATCTTTTCAAATTAATGTTTTTGTTTTGTTTGGGCAAGTACATAGGCGAGAATTAACATTCACATTAACTAGATCCTATGTTATTTGTCTTTTTAATTTTTTGAGGAACCTCCATGCTGTTTTCCAAAGTGGCTGCACCAAATGTACATTCCCAACAATAGACCAACAGTGCAAGAGGGTCCCCTTTTATCTATGTCCTTGCCAACACTTGTTATTTCTTGTGTTTTTGATACTAGACATTCCGACCGATGTCAGGTGATATCTCACTGTGGTTTTGATTTGCATTTTCCTGATGATTAGATGATGAGGTTCTTTTCATGTGTCAGTCATCTATATGTCTTTTTTATTGGGGGAAAAACATCTATTCAGATTTTCTGTCCATTTTTAAATTCCATTGTTTGTTTTTTTGGCATTGAGTTGTATGGGTTTTTAAATATATTTTGGATGTTAATCCTCACTAAGTATATTATTTGCAAATATCTTCTCCCATTCTGTAGAATGTTTTTTTTTTGTTTGTTTTTGGTTTTCTTTGTTGGAAAAAGCTTTTTATTTTGATATAGTCCCACTTGTTTATTTTTGCTTTTGTTGCCCTTGTCTGAGGAGATATATCCAAAACAGTACCGTTAGGTCAATGTTTAAGAGTATTACTTGCCTATATTTTCTTTTAGGAGTTTTACTCTTTCAGCTCTTGCATTTAAGTCTTTTATCAATTTTATTTTTGTGGATAGTATAGGAAAATGGTCTGGTTTCATTCTTTTGTGTGTAGCTGTCCAGTTTTCCCAATACCATTCATTTAAGAGACTGTCTTTTCCCTGTTGTGTATTCTTGCCTCCTTTGTTGTAGATTAATTGACCGTGTAAGTACAGTTTATTTTGGGGCTCTCTATTCTGTTCCATCGATCTGTGTGTCTCTATTTGTGTCAGTTCCATACTGTTTTCATGACTATAGCTCTGTATTGTAGTTTGAAATCTAATATTGTGATACCTCCAGCTTTGTTCTACTTTCTCTCTCTCTCTCTTTTTTTTAAGATTTTATTAATTTTTTTGACAGAGATCACAAGTAGGCAGAGAGGCAGGCAGAGAGAGAGGAGAAAACAGGCTCCCTGTTGAGCGGAGAGCCTGATGCGGGGCTCGATCCCAGGACCCTGGGATCATGACCTGAGCTGAAGACAGAGGCTTTAACCCACTGAGCCACCCAGGCACCCCTGTTCTTCTTTCTCAAGATTGTTTTCACTATTTGGGGACTTTTGGAGTTCTATACCAATTTAGGATTATTCGTTCTAGTTCTATGAAAAATGCTTTTGATATTTTGGTAGGGATTGCCCTGAACCTATAGATTGCTTTGGGTAGTATTGGACATTTTAACAATATTAATTCTTCCAATATGTGAGCATGGCATATCTTTTCATTTGTATCATCTTCAATTTCTTTATGTCTTTTTTTTTAAAAGATTTTATTTATTTATTTGACAGAGAGAGATCACAAGTAGGCAGAGAGGCAGGCAGAGAGAGAGGGGGAAGCAGGCTCCCCGCTGAGTGGAGAGCCCGATGCGGGGCTCGATTCCCGGACCCTGAGATCATGACCATGACGAAGGCAGAGGCTTTAACCCACTGAGCCACCCAGGCGCCCCTCTTTAATAATGTCTTATAGTTTTCAGAGTACAGACCTTTCACCTCCTTGGTTAAATTTATTCCTAAGTGTTTCATTGTTCTTGGTACTATTATAAATGAGATTGTTTTTGTAATTTCTCTTACAATTCATTATTAGTGTATAGAAATACAACATATTTCTGTATATTAATTTTGTATCTTACAACTTCACTGAATTCATTTATTCTAAATTTCTGGTGGAGTCTTGAGGGTCTCTCTCTATATAGCATTATATCATTTGCAAATAGTGACAGCTTTATTTCTTCCTTACCATTTGGATGCCTTTTATTTCTTTTTCTTGACTGATTACTGCATCTAGGGCTTCTAGTACTATGTTAAATAGAAGTGGTGAGCATGGATATCCTTGTCTCGTTTCTGATCTTAGAGGAGAAGCTTTCAGCTTTTTACCCTTGAGTACGATATTAGCTGTGGGTTTTTCATATATAGCCTTTATTTTACTGAGGTATGTTCCCTCTCTCCCCACATTGTTGAAAGTTTTTATCATGAATGGATGCTGAATTTTATCAAATGCTTTCTCTACCATCCAGATGATCATATGATTTTTTAATCATTTTTGTTGACATGATGTATCATGTTGGCTGATTTGTGGATATCGAACTATCCCTGCATACTTGAAATAAATCTCACTTGATCATGGTGAATAATCATTATAATGTATTGTTGAATTCAATTTTCTACTAGTTTGTTGAGGATTTTTGCATCATGTTCATGAAGGATATTGGCTTGTAATTTTCTTTTTTCATAGTGTTTTTCTTTTTGGTATCAGGTTAATGCTGGCCTTATAGAATGAATTTGGAAGCATTCCTTCTTCTTCAACTTTTTTGGAAGAGTTGGAGGGTATGTATTAACTCTTTTTTTTATGTTTGGTAGAATTCACTTGTGAAGCCAGCTGGTCCTAGACTTTGGTTTGTTGGGAGATTTTTGATTACTGATTCAATTTATTATTAATAATTGGTCTGTTCAAATTATCTTTTTCTTCCCTTCTCAGTTTTGGAAGATTGTGTGTTTCTAGGTATTTCCCTGTTTCTTCCAGGTTGTCTAATATGTTGGCATATAATTTTTTGTAGTAGTCTTTTGTAATGTTTTGTATTTCTGTGGTGTCAGTGGTAACTTCCTTTTCATTTTTGATTTTGGGTCCTCTTTTTTTCTTTATGAGTGTCCGGTGTTTTATCAGTTTTGTTCATCTTTTTAGAGAACTAGCTCTTAGTTTCATTGATCCTTTCTATTGTTTACTTAGTCTCCATTTTTTTCAACTCTGATCTTTATTATTTCCTTCCTTCTACTGACTTTAAGATTTGTTCTTCTGTTTCTATTTGTTTAGGTGTAAGATTAGATTGAGATTTTTCTTATTCCTTAAGGTAGGCCTGTGATGTTATAAACTTTCTTCTTAGATGGAAGTGGGGCGTCCCCTAGTATTATTGCATTACTGTTAGTTTCTCCCTTTTTATCTATTAGTATTTGCTTCATATATTTAGGTACTCCTATGTTGGGTGCATATTTACAATTGTTATATCTTCTTGTAGGCTTAATTTTTTTTGTATATTATATAATGCCTTCTTTGTCTCTTGTTATAGTTTTTGTTTTAAAGTCTATTTTTTCTGATATAAGTATTACTACCCAGTTTTTTTTGGATCCATTTGCATGGAGTATCTTTTTCCTTCTCTTCACTTTCAGTCTGTATCTTTAGGTCTGAAATGAGTCTCTTCTAGGCAACATATAGATTGGTCCTTTTTTTTTTCTCCCCCATCTATTCAGTCACCCTATGTCTTTTGACTAGAACATTTAGTCCACTTACATTTAAAGTAGTTATTGATAGGTAGGTACTTATTGCCATTTGTTACTTGTTTTATTTATTCATTTATTTTTGTGGTTTGTCCCCGTTCTTCTTTTTTGCTCTCTTCTCCTGTGATTTGATGATTTTCTTTAGTGTTAGGCTTAGATTTCCTTCTCTTTATTTTTTGTGTATTTATTATGGGTTTTTGGTTTGTGGTTGCCATGAGGTTTATGTATAACATCCTATGTATACAGGAGTCTGTTTTAAGTTGATGTTCGCTGAAGTTCAAACACATTCTAAAAGTAATACATTTTTACCCCCCTTCTCCATGTTTTATGTATTTGGTGTTACATTTTACATTTTATTTTGTGTATCCCTGAACTAATTATTGTAGATATAATTGATTTTACTACTTTTGTCTTTTACCTTCATACAAATTTTATAAGTGATTGATCTGCTACCTTTACTATATGTTTGCTTTTGCCAGTGTGAGTTTTAGTTTTCATAAATTTTTACTAAAGTTTTGGCCTTTTCCACTTAAGTCCTTTTAACATTTCTTGTAAGACCAGATAGTGGTGATAAACTCTTTTAACTTTTGTTTGTCTGGGAAAATTTATCTCTCCTTCAATTCTGAATGATGACCCTTTTGTGTACAATATTGTTGGTTGAAGGTTTTTTCCTTTCAGCACTTTGAATATATCATGCTACCTGCTTTTGGAATGCAAAGTTTCTGCTAAAAAAAATCAGATGATGACCTTGTGGGGTTTCTCTTGTAGGTAACTGGTTGCTTTTCTCTTGCTGCCTTTTTTTTTTTTCTTTTCTTTAAAAGGTTTTAATTTAGTTACCCAGCGGTCCTCACAAGTAGAGATTCCTTAATCTCCATTGCCTATTTAACCCATCCTCTCGCCTCTGGTAATCATCAGTTTGTCTTCTATAGTTAAGAGTCTGTTTGTTTGTCTCTTTTTTCCCCCTCTTTGCTCATTTGTTTTCATATGAGTGAAATAATATCAAATTTATCTTTTTCTGACTGAGTTATTCCATTTGGCATTATACACTTTAGCTCCATCCATGCCATTACAAATAGCAAGATTTCATTTTTTATTTTTTATTTTTATTTATTTATTTGAGAGAGTGAGAGTGAGAAAGAGAGCATGAACAGGGTGGGAGGTGGGAGAGGGAGGAACAGACTCTCCATAAAGCAGGCATCCTGGAATCATGACCTGAACTGAAGGCAGATGTTTAACTGACTGAACCACCCGTGTGCCCCAAGATTTCATTCTTTGTTATGGCTGAATAATATTCCAGTGTGTGTGTGTGTGTGTGTGTGTGTGTGTGTGTATACCACATCTTTTTATCCATTCATCAATCTTGTCTCTTATAGATAGTGCTGCTATAAACATTGGGGTGCATATATCTCTTTGCATTAGTGTTTTGATTTTTTTTTATGATTTTATTTATTTGAGAGAGAGAGAGTACAAGCTGGGGGAGGGGGAGATGGAGAGGGACAAGTAGACTTCCTACTGATGAAGGGCTTAATCCCAGGACCTTGAAATCATGACCTGAGCTGAAGTCAGATGTTTAACTGACTGAGCCACCCAGGCCCCCCAGTGTTTTGATATTCTTTGGGTAAATACCCAGTAGTGCAACTGCTGAATCATAGGGTAGTTCTATTTTTAACTTTTTGAGGAATCTCCATCCTGTTTTCCAGAGTGGCTACACCAGTTTGCATTCCCAGCAGTGCAACAAGGGTTCTTTTTCTCCACATCCTCATCAATACCTCTTGTTTCTTGTGTTGTTGATTTTAGCCATTTTGAGGAGTTTGAGGTGATATCTCATTGTAGTTTTGATTTGAATTTCCCTGATGATGAGTGATGTTGAGTGTCTTTTCATGTGTCTGTTGGCCATCTATATGTCTTATTTTTAGAAGTGTCTGTTCATATTTTTTCCCATTTTTAAATTGGATTATTTTTGTTTTAGGTGTTAGGTTTTATAAGTTCCTTATATATTTTGGATACGAACTCTTAGTTGGCTCTATCATTTGCAAATATATTCTCCCTTTTGTAGATTGCCTTTTAGATTTATTGATTGTTTCCTTCACTGCATAGAAGCTTTTTATTTTGATGAAGTCCCAATAGTTTATTTTTTAATTTTTTAAATTTTTATTTTTTTAAAAAAATTTTTAAATTTCTTTTCAGTGTACCAAAATTCATTGTTTATGCACCACACCCAGTGCTCCATGCAATACGTGCCCTCCACAATACCCACCACCAGGCTCACCAAACTTCCCACCCCCCCCACCCCTTCAAAACCCTCAGATTGTTTTTCAGAGTCCATAGTCTCTCATGGTTCATCTCCCCCTCCAATTTCTCTCAACTCCCTTCTCCTCTCCATCTCCCCATGACCCCTGTGTTATTTCTTATGCTCCACAAATAAGTGAAACCATATGATAATTGGCCCTCTCTGCTTGACTTATTTCACTCAGCATAATCTCTTCCAGTCCTGTCCATGTTGATGCAAAAGTTGGGTATTCGTCCTTTCTGATGGAGGCATAATACTCCATAGTATATATGGAACACATCTTCTTTATCCATTTGTCTGTTGAAGGACATCTTGGTTCTTTCCACAGTTTGGCGATCGTGGCCATTGCTGCTATGAACATTGGAGTACAAATGGCCCTTCTTTTCACTACATCTGTATCTTTGGGTTAAATACCCAGTAGTGCAATTGCAGGGTCATAGGGAAGCTCTATTTTTAATTTCTTAAGGAATCTCCACACTGTTTTCCCAAGTGGCTGCACCAACTTGCATTCCCACCAACAGTGTAATAGGGTTCCCCTTTCTCCACATCCTCTCCAACACACATTGTTTACTGTCTTGTTAATTTTGGCCAATAGTTTATTTTTGCTTTTGTTTCCTTCAGGAGACACATCTAGAAAGATGTTGCTATAGCCAATGTTAAAGAGGTTACTGCCTGTGTTCTTCTAGGACTTTTTTGGTTTCAGATCTCACATTTAGGTCTTTAATCCATTTTGAATTTATTTTTGTGTATGATGTGAGTAAGCGGTCCAGTTTAATTCTTTTACATGTTGCTCTCTAGTTTTCCTAACACTGTTTGTTGAAGAGACTGTGTTTTTCCCATTGGATATTCTTTCCTGCCTTGTCACAGATTAATTGACCATATAATTGTGGGTTTATTTCTGGGTTTTCTATTCTGTTCTGTTGATCTGTGTCTGTTTTTGTGCTAGTACCATATTGCTTTGATCATTACAGCTTTGTAATATAACTTGAAGTCCAGAATTATAATGCCTTCAGCTTTGCTTTTCTTTTTCAAGATTGCTTTGGCTATTTAGGGTCTTTTGTGGTTCCATGTAAGTTTTAGGATTGTTTGTTCTAGTTCTGTAAAAAAATGCTGTTTGTATTTTGACAGGGATTACATTAAAAGTGTAGGTTGCTTTGGGTAGTAGATATTTTAACAATATTTGTTCTTTCAGTCCATGAACAGGGAATGTCTTTTCATTTCTTTGTATAGAAGTCTTGTACAGAGTACAAGTCTTTCACCTCTTAGATTATGTTTATTCTTAGGTACATTATTATTTTGGGTGCAGTTGTAAATGTGATTTTCAAAAAAAAAATTCTGCTGCTTTGTTATTGGCATATAGAAATTCAACAGATATCTGTATGTGGAATTTGTATGCTGTGACTTTACTGCATTCATTTATCAGTTCCAGCAGTTTTTTGGTGGAGTCTCTCAGGTTTTCTATATAGAGTATCTTGTCATCTGCAAATAGTGGAAGTTTTACTTCTTCCTTACTGATATGAATGCCTTTTGTTTCTTTTTGTTGTCTGAGTACTGTGGCTAGGACTTCTAGTACTGTGTTGAATAAAAGTGGTGACAGTGGACATCCTTGTCTTGTTCCTGACCTTAGGGGGAAGGCTGTCAGTTTTTCCCCATTAAGTATGATGTTAGCTGTGGGTTTTTCATATAAGGCCTTTATTATGTTGAGGTATGTTCCCTCTAGACCTACTTTGTAGAGGGTTTTTTTTTTCACGAGTAATGCTGACCT